CCCACCACAACACCTGGCTATTCTTTGGTTGCAGCCGTTATTGTTGTTTCGTGTGCCCGGGTTGGGTTTGAACCCACCAGCTCAGGTGTATGTGGCTGGCGCCTTAGCCGCTTGGGCCACAGGTGCTGAGCCCTCCCTTGACATTTTTGAATTTCCTATCAAACTCTTCATCTACCTAGGGCAAAAGGCTTATGTTCAACAATAACTGCAGATACTTTTAAACTTTTATAAAGATTACCATCAAACTGGCCCTCTTCCATCTGCCCATCTGATGATTGGGCATAAAGGTGAGAATATGCATGCAGCTTTATTAAATGTGTTCTGCAGTTTTTCTTAAAAATACTTTTCAGCCAGGTGTGGTGGCTCATGCCTATAAACCTAGCACTCTGAGAAGCCAAGGCAGGAGGATTTCCTGAGCTCAGGAGTTCCATATCAGCCTGAGTAAAAGCCAGACCCCTGTCTCTCCCAAAAAAAAGAAAAATCAGCCGGGTATTGTGGCAGGCACTTGTAGACCCAGCCACTTGGGAGGCTGAGGCAGGAGGATTGCTTGAACTCAGGAGTCTGAGGTGGTTGTGAGCTGGGCTAATGCCATAGCACTCTAGCCTGGGCAACAGAGTGAGACTGTCTCAAAACAAAACAAAATAAAACATTTTTCTCTATGTTGCGCAGGCTGGTCTTAAAACAAAACAAACCTTTTTTCATATAATTATTTTGTTTTACACTATCTGCAAATATAAACAATTTCTTTATTCAATTATTCATTAAAAATGTTAGGTAGAACAAGGTCAAAGAAAGAGCCTTACTGCATACTAAGTATAATGTGTGTTACGTATCTAAATGCCAGAAATATCACGCATCCTGTTTATGAGTCCCCATCTTGGCTACCAGGTTTTCATTAAGACCTTTGTCAAAGGCTTTGCTTTTATTTTTTGAGACAGAGTCTCACTATTTAGCTCTTAGTAGAGTGCCTTGGCATCACAGCTCACAGCAACCTCAAACTCTTGGACTTAAGTGATTCTTGTGCCTCAGCCTCCCAAGTAGCTGGGACTACAGGCACCCACCATAACACCTGGCTATTTTTTGTTGCAGTTGTCATTGTTGTTTAGCTGGCCTGGGCTGGGTTTGAACCCACCACCCTTGGTGTATGTGGCTGGTGCTGTAACCACTATGCCATGGGCGCTGAGCCAAGGCTTTGCTTTTAATTTAGATTCTAATTGATACTGCCCAAGTTCCTGAGGTGTAAGAAAAAAGAGAGAAAGAATATTTGTTTCTTTCTTGTGATGACTTTATTTTGGGTGTCAACATAACTGGCTTAAATAGTTAGTGGGTGAAACGTTACTTATTCTCAAGGGTTTAGCATGAATGCACGGTATCAGGTATGTCTGTGATGGTGTTTCCAAGGTGACTGGCATGTGTGTGGGTGGACTGAGCAGGGAATTTCTACCCTCAGTGTGGGTAGGCACCAGCTAATAAGCTGGGGCCCTAGATGGAACAAAAAGGAGGACAAAGGGCGAATTCTATCCTTCTACCCGCAGAGCAGGGATGGCCTTTTTTTGCCCTAGGGTGCAGCACTCCAGGTTCTCAGGCCTTCAGCCTCAGACTGAGAGTCACACGATTCCTCGGTTCTCAGGCCTTCATAGGTGGACTGAGCTTGTAGACAGGCTATTGTGGGACTTCCCAGCCTCCATAATCAAGTGAGCCAATACCCCTCCTGAATAATCCCTTTTCATCTCTTTCTCTTATTGGCTCTGTGTCTCTGCAGAACCCTGACTAAAACAGAGAGGAAGTATAGTTTGTGGTATTCTAGTGCCTTCCTGTTCACTTGTTCCTGGTTCAGTTCTCTTTGGTTCCTAGCCAGGGCAGGCCGATCACAGCCCTCCCTTATGCACTGTATTCATTCTTCTCTCTTCTTCTCCTCTCCCCTCAGTGAAATCAAATATGTTAAGAATTATAATTTGGGGCTCAGCGCCTATGGCTCTAGTGGCTAAGGCGCCAGCCACATACACCTAAGCTGGTAGGTCGAATCCAGCCCGGGCCAGCCAAACAACGATGGCTGCACCCCAAAAATAGCCGAGCATTGTGGCAGGTGCCTGTAGTCCCAGTTACTTGGGAGGCGGAGACAAGAGACTCACTTGAGTCCAGGAGTTGGAGGTTGCTGTGAGCTGTGATGCCATGGCACTTCACCCAGGACGATAGCTTGAGGCTCTGTCTAAAAAAAAAAAAATTTGGTTCAATTAATTGATGCATAAATGAGAGATTACTATTTAACCTTTCTAGAAATATAGCATATGCATTTATCAAAGAAGGGCATTAATCCTAATCATGCTCTAATTTATACAATTTCAAGGAATAGAACACTGACAAGTAAAATAATTCTGGCTTCTAGAGCAAAAAATATATTTTAACAGGAAAACACCACATATAGGTCACTCCTGGCTAGGATTAAACTTCTAGGGTCAGTCCCATTAAATTGGTCCTATGGATAGATATGCTTTCATTTCTCAGTTTTAGAATCCATAGACAATAAAAGCTCCAATTTCTCCCCTCAAAATAGTACCCATGAAGGTAACAGAAGTAATTCTCTCAGCTTCTAAAGAAAGGGAAATAAAGGTAGGGTTTTCTAATTTTTCACTTTATAAACTTCTGTTCCTGTTGACTTTTAAATACCATGAGCACCTATTACTTACATGGTTCATAAAAAAAGTTTTTAAAAGGCAATGTTGGACGGCTTGGCGCCTGTGGCTCAAGCGGCTAAGGCGCCAGCCACATACACCTAGGGTGGCAGGTTTGAATCCCCAGCC